TTTTATCGGAGCTGGGTAAGATACCTGAAGCGTTCTTGCACAAGGAACTGTGTGAGGCGGTCTTCGACTTACACCTGCCGCTCTCATACATTTCGGATGGCGAACGTGCCAGGCTGCAGAAACTTGCGTCACTTGCAGACTATGGGCTGGCCGACGTTGTAGACGAACTTTTCTACCAGAGCGAAGCCCAAACCTTCTCAACACGGAGACTATATGTGCTGAGAGTCGCCATTGCATGGGTCAAGCATGAGGTGCAGGAAGAAGAGGACGGTGAGTACCGTGTGGGTACGGAGGCATGGAATGGGTTCAATATGGCGTTGTGGGCACGGCTGCTGGATCTCCTCACCCAGGCAGCAGGAAATCTGGCGGCGATATTCAGCTTAGCAGCTTCGCCTCCTCAACGGATCGAGACGGAGCTTGTGGAGATGCTCTTCAAGACTGCGAGGGACATCCTTGTTCTTGTCATGCTTCTCACGGCACAACTGCAGTTTTCGCCTCGGACAATTCGCGAGTTCACTGTGACCATCGCAAGCCTCTTTGCGTCCGCCCAGACAGCGACTGCCGTCTTCAGCCTTTGCACTGAGATATCAGACGGGGCTCAGGAAGCACGCAAGGCTGGAATGGAATTCCTGTCAAATATGGCAAAGACGTCGCCGCTGCCTGTACTTTCCGCTCTTCTCGAACCTGTTATTCCGATGGGAGTAGACCCTGTCGTCCATATACATCAATGCGCCGTGATGGTGCACGATATCCTTGCATTGTCAAGTGACAGCTCGCCAGCATGGGTGCAAATTAACCTCCCGCCGTTGTTGAACCTTTTGGATGGTTTCTCTAGGAGGCTAGATGCTGAGAGCCGACGAGCATTTCTGAAACACATTGTGGACTTGGACAGTGGTTGTATCGGGGTTGGAGAGTGGCTGCTCACTCACGAGCTGAAGCACCTCCGTCAAATTTTGACGCGTGAGACCACACCTGCGCATCTTAGCCTGGCGCACACGTCCCTTTGTGCTTTAGCAAGATTTGCGCAAGATAAATTGGAGTGGTTCGCTACTGCAAACCGGGAAATATCCGACTTCCATGGAGCGCTGAAAGATGCATTGGAGGCAATGCTAGACGGAGGCTATGTATCCCAAGGATGGAAGTCGCTAGTGCGGACGCTGGGAGATTCGCACCACGACTGGCAGGATGCTGGCCAGTGTCTCGCGATGTCGTACATTCGCTCTTTGCGAGTGGACAGGGCAGTGGACGCCGATGTGAATGCTGTTGTGAAGCAGCTGGAAAATGGTGGCTTGCACATCAGGGCGGAGGTTGGCCAGTGGCTATCAGATCTCAGTGCGGAGAAAGAACCCTCGCAAGGTGCGATGGTGGTTGCGGCGAAGACGATGCACTGGCTTTCCCGACAGGAACACTCGTTGTTTCGGGCGCTTCCGTCCTTCGACAACGCTGGCATTGGGGCATTGCTCAGATTACTTGCGTCTGTGGAAGGAGGAGATGCTTTGTCGACGGCAGGTTTTGTAGCGGACGAAGACGAGTCTCTTCTCCCGCCCCTTGTTAACCTTGATGCCCCCGCCCAAGTGACTCTGTCAAGCATCGAGGACCTCTTCAATGCCTCTCACAAGTCCGTGCCCCCGACTCCATCTACCCCGAAAGGGAAGGGTACCGTCACCCCGGACGTGCTCGGCGTTGTTATGTCCCCACCAACTGCCCTTTTCCACTCACCGATGTCTTCAACACTCACTAAGACCTACGCCAACAATGAGTTCCGCGACACGAGACAACAAGCGACAAGGCAAAATACAAGCCGGTTGCCTAGTATGCATGGTGCGCCTTCCACGTCGCTTAGGGAGTCCTCCGGCTGACACATATTGCAGTCGATGTGGGTAGTTTTGGCCACTAACCTGCCCGCAATGGGCATCTTCTTACTATAACCACAGGACTTCTTGGTTGGTCCCAGCATACCAGTCACCAACCAATTTGGTGCATATTCAAGCCAATAGCAATATACATACGAAATACAAATTGATTCAGTCTATCTGATGCTGACGGTACGTATGTGCGAATGAAATCGGAGAATGCAATCAACGAAACCCTCAGATACATGCGCGTAAACATGTTGTGGTCCACGTGTAGAGGGGACGTTCAGTGGTAATTAATTATTGGTTTTCTTGTAGGGATTTGAGCTGATGTTGGATGCGTAACTTTGCTGCCCGGAGCGATGGAGCAGGTCGCAGAGTTAATGTATATAGTTGTAACATACCAGAGCAGTACTGTAATCTGTATACCTTCTTTGCCAACCACTTTAAATAATGATGGACGCCACACATCGTGATGCCGGCCGAATTACGTTAGGCACGGCACATCGGCGCTTTCCAAAATGCAAGTTCGAATTCTCGCGACTGCCACCGCCCAGCACCATGTCATGTCTTTCACCTTCAACTGGCCACGCTTCTCGGACCAGTTTCACTACGATGCAATCCAGATGCTCAACACTGCCCTCAACAAAGGGGACAAGCCCCCAATCATAGCGGACAAAATAGAAGTCGTCGAGCTCGAGATGGGAACAGAGGTATATTGCTCACTATATACCAAGCGGTCACTAACATTCTCGGAAGCCTCCGGAGCTTGAGATACGTGAGATTGGAGAAATGACCATGGACCAGTTTCGAGGAATTTTTCGTATGTCGTACGCGGGAGATGCACATCTGGTGTTGAAGACGAAAGTACAGGTGTGTACTGTTCTCGGGATACTCAAATTGGACTCAGAACAGTATAGGCAAATCCCTTGAATCACAAGCAGCCAGATATTCACCTCATGACGGGGACAAGAGGTATGCTTGCCGCCAAGCAGCCTCTTGTAGTCCCAATGCTGCTCCGGTTGTCCCACTTCAAGATGCGCTCCATCGTGGTCCTGGTCGTTTCAAAGCAAAAAGGCATCACCCTTGTGTTCAAGACAGACCCTCTGCAAAGTGTAGACATCAACAGCACGTTCGACTCAATTGCAGTGATCCAAAAGTTCATTCAACGCGAAATCGAGGGACAACTGCGCCAAATGTTCCGCGAGGATTTGCCTGGGATAATTCACCGACTCAGCCAACAGTGGATAAAGGCCAAAGTGGAGACACCGTATCTCAGCAAGCGGCCTTCCATCCCGCGACCGCCGCAACCCCATGTTGTCGAGAGCGAACCAGACCCGCTATCATTCCACAATGTCGCGAATCTGGAGAAAACTCAGGCATCATCCCTCAACCGGACGCATACAGCCGGTTACACGCCTTCCCGTGTCAGCAGTACCCGTCGCGCGCCCGTCTCCATTCGGTCTGCCCCGGTACCAGCACCAGCACCAGACCCTGATAACGACCTGGAGAATTTCGACCCTACCTATGGTCTACGACCAGAAGGGCTGCCTTCCAAGAGCATGTTCACTGGCTTAAGGAGCCTCTTCCATCCTACCCGTGGCTTGGCCGATCTCACAGAAGAGGGCAGCGAGGACCTCAACGAATATGATGACGAGTCCGTCTCATTTGATATGGTCGATTGGGATGCAGGCCGCGCAGAAACCACACCACCAAGCAGTATTCTCAATGAGGGCAGGGAAACCACTGTGACTGAATATGAGACCATTCCTGCCGTTGGCGGCGGGACCATCACACGACCCCGAATATATCACTCACAATCGCTGTTAGCCAATCCAGCCGAGGCAGCTTCATCCATCGATTTTCCACCTCGAACACCCTCATCTCCGCATCCGTTTGCTCCATTTGCGCTCAATGGCATGCGCAGGACCAACTCCCTCAACGGCACGTATTTCCCGGATTCAAACTCGTCACCCCGATCTTCAGTACGACCTCTCCATGGGGTGGGTATCAGCCGACCATCCTCCTTTCCAAATATCACCACTGCGTCCGTTGACAAACCGACTGTCCCAGCGTCGGCCTCGGTTGATGACAACTTAATTCCGCGACGGCATCCATCAAGTCACAAAGCATCCATTTCTGAACAAGACGCATCATTGTCGTTCCGGAGCGCCTCCCCGCCGACCTATACTACCGTACTCGAGGATTCGGACTCGAGCCCCAAGATAATCATCCGCCCCACTCTTCTCAGCAATACTATTTCGCACCTTTCAACTCTTAGCCATTCGCATCACACTCTATCGCCGTACACGCGCTCAATGCAGCACTTTACTGTCCGTAGTGGACCACCTCGATTCGACGGGGGCGCGAGCCCAGAGAAGCTTGTCAAGGCCCGGCGCAAGCGCACTATACGGCTTGGTGGTACAACCAAACCTACGCCAGCCATCAAGCCAAGCTCTCCTATAGATCCAATACCTAGCCCATTACCTCCTGTGGGACTCTCTGAATTCGACATGTCGGACATGGACCGTTACTTCCGTTCCCACGACGAGGTGCCCCATGGCTCACCTAAATTACACCCCTCTCATGTTCGTCTACGTCCTACTTACAATCGATTAGATGGCCTTCCATAAACGTAAACCTGATCTTTCCCTGCAACTGTCTTCGCAAGAGTCTTTCCTGGATACTGTACATGCTTTCGGCCACAGATGCGCCGCTTATATAATCTTTATCTTTCGGTTGTATGTATCTGTATTTATATCGGTCTGGTGTTGCGAACGGGGTTGCCAACTGAGGAGCCGCTCAGTCGAGAAATAGCACTGGTCCAGCTACAATCTTTGCAATTACTACTATTCCAGTAACGCGATGAATCGACCTTTGAAATGGTGCGTGAGGCCTTTAGCTTTAGGCTTGATGCAATGATATGTGCCCCATGGAAAGCATTGTGATGCTTAAGCGAACATTTGTTTGTCTTCGGAAGTCGATACAGTGATATGAGCAATCTCGGACTGGGCTGTCGTACAAGTCCTTAGTCCACAACGACGCGGTTATTTCAGGGCCTGTATCGCGCAAAGATACAAACAGTGCAATGGCACGTGACTATTGCTGACAGCCAGTTGATAAGTAATGAAATGCGGATCTCTCCAAGCCCCACTTGTCTAATGGCTATGACGTCAGACTTCTAATAGTAGCGATCTGGAGGTTGCGGGTTCGAGTCCCGCGTGGGGTTTTCCGTTTTTCTTGGTTCGTGTCGTACCCATGTAGTATGCTCCCCGAGGGTACGGTACCGTACACAGGCTCAATTTAGGGGGAGGGTTACTGTGCCCTGCGAAAAGTGAGTCGTGGCACTGACGAGGGAGCTCAAATAACTCATACATACCCGAATTGAACTAATCCGCCCACTTTCTCCGCGCTTTCGCATTTTGTTCATTTGTTACTGAATGCAAGTCTGACCACTTTGAAGTCACAGAGCATCGAAGAAACGCAGAGTCGAACCCATCTAACAAACTGGATGTGAGTGCCGAAGATGGATTCTAGGATTCGCCTCTGGTTTGACGAACTACCCGTTCGAGCATCTATCGAAGGAGGCATGCAAAGGCCAGCGATTCTAGCAATCAATAGACACATCTAAACAAACACCTTAGTAGCCAGACTGTTCCCCAAAGTGGGAAAAAGTGGGAAGAAATACTGGTGAACAACATTGCTGATGAGAGTAAAGTCCTGGAGGGTACGTTAGAACGTACCGCCAGGTACTGGTATTGTCCTGCCTATGGGCGTACTCTTGAGGGGACGACAACGGCCTCCCAAAAGCATGCCAAGCCAGGGCAAGTTCGATTCACATGCATGAAATAGCGTCACAAATACACAGCGTTCAGTAGTAACAAAGAAAAAGTACGGTTCCTAATCCAGCGTGATAACATTCCTAAGTAAGAGTACAGTTATTTCTGAGCAGGCGGTGGTCCGGTGCTAGTGGCAGGTGGTTGAGAAGGTTGCGTAGCAGGCATCTGGGAAGTGAGGACAGCAGGAGGGTCTCGAGTGGACTGGACTATTGGCGCCGGGACAACGGGGGCGGCAGACGGAGCGACCGGTAGGCCAACCTGCATAGGAGAAGGCATCGTGACCACCGATGGAGACCTTGCCTGCACTGCGCTGGACGTGGGTTTCTCGGTTGAAGGAGTGGCACCGGCCACCTCGTTAGCCACGAGTGCTTGGCCAGGCAGAGAAACAGGCGGGATAGCAGCCACGGGACGACTGATACCGGCCGGCGGAGTCGACACGGGAGGCGCAGCCGCATATCGCTTGGTAGACGGTGAAGGATCTTCTTCTGGTGCTTTCCGTTTTCCTGTCAGTGACAATGGCGAAGTCGTAGGTAGTATGGCCTTCGACGGTGCAGCTGGAAGTGGTCGTGGCGGGGGTTGATGGATATGCTGGCGCTGCCCGGGATGAATGTGTTGAGGATGACCCATATGTTGAGGATGAATAACGGCAGGATGCCCAGGATGCCCAGGATGAGGATGCCCCATGTGCATAGGCTGAATGGGGTGGTGGTAGCGTACGGGAGGTGGGATCGCTACTGACTGTGACGGATGGTGCACGGCGCCCCAGTGGGACCAGGCGCCGGGATGCATACTGCCTGGATGAGGAGCCATATGTGGTGGGAGTGGCTGTCGCCCGTGATGTCGATGCGCCGCATCCAGTGGGCTCTCGTACCCATCACCTTCCCCTGGAACCACCTTGACGAGCTCGACGAATAATGTAGCAACATACGGAGGGCGCATGGCTCTATACACTAGGTCTCGACTGCATGATTTCAGCATCGCTTCGGTGTCGATGTAAAGCTCGGGTGCGAGATGCGCACTTTGAGCATCCACTGAAAATAGTTAGATAGTAACAGAAGACGTCACGAACAACAACTTACAAAATGGCTTCACGCGCACTTCGGCATACTGATACGCCACACCGGTACGAAGACAGCACAGTGGACACATGAATGGGCCCCGGGCGGAGGGAGCGGTCGAGTTGTCGTGGGGATAGAACACACAACCGGCATGATACAGTTTACTGCACTGGTTACACTTCACCGTGGCATAGTTTAGCAAGTAGAGCGTTCGTCCACGACAGATACAGCGCGTGCCATCTGTCCAGTCTTGATCGCCGTCCTGTCCAAAGACGAATTTCGGGCGCCTCCGTTTCTCCCTGCGATTCTTGTGAGGACGCGAAGCCAAGTTGCGGTGAGCTTGGGTAAGGTCAAGCCCGTAGGAGACAGCTGGATCTGGAGATACCAAGAACTGCAGCTTGTAGAGCTTGCGCATCCAATGGCGGACTTGGTGGATGTAGTCCGGACGACTGTTCATGGGCTGGTTCACAAAGGAGAGGAAATGCCCAATGGACGAGGAAAGCTTATCGACTTTATGTACAATGACCTTGAGCATGCGATACTCGTCTGAATAGTGACGCGTGATAGGAGGCGCGCGGTCAAGGAGATTGGGTAGGTAGCAGAAGTGCCAGTTGCGTTTCTTCGGGATTACGCCAGTCCAATGTTGTTGATCGCAGAATGGACAGGAGCCACCGTTGTTTGCGCACACACCGTGGAAGCGGGCATAACAATAGTCACACTGTACTGCATCGGAAGGCTGACCTGCTGGAGGTGGGCTGACAGGGTCGGGGCAAATGCAGGTGATGAAATCAGATTTCGGTGGCACCTCGCTGTCGACAGAAGTAACTTCCTCGACGTCCTTTAAGATGGCCTGTGTTTCCTCTCGATGGCTCTGGGAGTACCACGGGATCTCCTTGAGCCAGTCACTATGTTTGATCAGCTGCAACTCGAGGCTTTCAAAGGCAACAAGGTTGAACATCGAGAGGTGATCTCGCGTGTACGTCCGCCATTGGTCCAATGTGGCGAACAAGTCCTCGTTTGGTGAGCGCCGGTAACGCTGTTGCAAAACGGTGCTGCAGCGCGCTTCTAGGTCGACAGCAATCTTCGCTGCAGACTTGACGTCTTCGACGGCTAGGATTTTGAAATCCTTTTCTGCGCGCTGTACCAGGCGCATAACATCACTGGGACGCGGCTTGGCGGCTCCCGCAGGGGGCTGAAGCCAGTCTGTAGCCTGCTTCTCGAAGTCTTTAGCCTTATCGCGTGCGTGCTTGAGTCTTTCAAGGACCGAGCTGTCGATGGGAATGTTAGGATCAAGATTGGAGAATGCGTTCAGTTCCTCGATGGTCTTGATGGGCTGTGCCAAGATGTTCTTTGCGCGGTCCTCTAGGGTGCTGCCCTCTAGCTGCCGTTGCTCGAGCATCCTCACATACTTCGGTTCTACCGGCTGAGGGCAAGAACGGCAACGCGTGAGGAAACGCCGAATCTCGTCAAGCGTCAAGCTGGTATCCGCATCGTCTAGCGCAGCAGCCAATTCTCTGTTGAGAGTCACCTTCTCCACAATTCCTTCCACCTGAAGAAGCTCGTCCAGGTGTACGTTCAGCGAGGACCCGTCGAGAATGAGTGAACGACATTCGTCGATGTAGTCATTGTCTTGTGGCCCAGTGCGACTGATGAGTGCCTTTGCCCTTGTCTTGTAATCCTCTGCTTGCGCCGCGAGGCTCTGGAGAGCGCTGATCTCTGGACATTCGAACCCTAATGGATCCACTTTCTTTAAAAGGTCGTACAAGTCGCTAAGAGACTGATCTGGCTTGTCGTCGTCGTTTATGAGCGCCGCATTGCCCCTCTTGCCACGGCGGGCCCTTTTCCGGCCCTGTTTACGAACTAGGAAATTGTTCGCCTCCTCGATCCACTCATTCGCTTTGTTGACGCACTTGCGAAGAGGTCCAAGCTCTGGAAGGGGGAAGCTGATTCTTTCGCCTTCGGCAAGAATGGCACGCAATGAGCGAAGCGCAGGCGTGGCACTGTCCATGAGGATGCGCCCCAGTTTCGCTTGCCATGCAGACGGGACCGCGGCACGCTCCGCCACCTTGAATTCGATTTCTTCAAGCTCAGCGTCGGAGAAACGTTTGCGAAGGATGTAAGAAGGTCGATGTTCATGCTTGTCACAGAGCAAATGGGCGTGCTCAACGCAGGCAACCATCGACGTGCATATGCTGGTGACCTGTGAGAGGTAGCAGAATGCTTTGCAGATAGCACATTGATACTGCTCTTCAGGCCTGTCCTTTTCCTCTAGGACCTCCACCAACCCGATTTCCCGAGCTTTCAAGCGATTGTGTCGTTCGCGTGCCATCATCTCCTTCAAACTATCATGAAGCCTGGATAACGGTAATTAAGAGTTGGTTCGAAATAGACATTCGTACGCACCACATAGCAGTCTTGATGGATTGGGACTGTTGTGTGATGGTGATGAGAAGCTCGTCATGAGAGAAGACCGGGAGTTTGCGATGGACTCTGTAACGCTGGACGCATTCGCGATCATAAGCCAGCCAGTCTGGGAGGGCGAAGTTCACGGCTTCGTTGAAGTTGAACTGCAAGACATGTTAGCCTACGCCCTGGGAATTGCACAACGAACTAACGCCATGATTGAAACCACAGTGATATGACTTCGGGAAGGTGATGACAAACTCTCCCGCGCGTTGATGGCATCGGAAGACCCGCACCCCAAAGCGCTTAACATGCTCTGGATTCATGAGAGTGACCAACTGGAAGAGAAGGTCGGGCTGGGCTTCGAAAAGGTCCGGAGCTTCACTTTTCATCGCTGCTTCAAACTTGTCGGCGTCCTCGCCAGGTATACCGTACCACGTCTTGGTCTCGCCCCAATGCACTTTGAACATTCAGCATTAACATTAGGATACTGGCGAGCTCTCTTACTGTAGTTGATGCTATAGGTGTAATGGTCCTGGAGCCACGTTAAGACAGGTCAGAACGAGAGTGTTCAAACGCACCTCATTGTGCCAGCAGAACGTTGAAAAGGTCATCCCTACATACGTCCATGGAACTGTCATGCCAGATATATCCGACTTGATAAATCGGAGAAGAGAGTCGGAGACAATTGGGATGTTGTTCAAATTCCACGGGTCTTTGGCATACTTGTTAAGCGGATGAAGTTCCATTGATGGCATTGCACTACACAATCGAGATGAGCACAATTCTATGAAGAGCACGTCCACGCACCTCCCGTGTGTTGTTGAGTGCACGTCCGCGCCGTATTCCACCTCAACTGTCTCATGAGGATTCTCCACCAACCGCCAAAACTCGCGTTCAATGTCTTGCTCTGAGATGACCTGCTGGCC